AGATAACACAAGTAGTATTCTGGCAATTATGTCCATTTAAAGGCAGTAACTACTGTAGTAATCCAGAATAATATGCTCTATTTACAGTCTAGTTTACAAAAAAAAAAAAAGAGAGAATGTTCATTAAATCCAGTTGGTTTGAGATAACACAAGTAGTATTCTGGCAGCTCAGCTTCTTTATTGCCCCCCAAAAAAAACCCTAGTTTGTGGTGACCTTTCCGTTAATCGTGCAGTAACTGGGTGAGAGGGTAAGCCTGTAGAAAGATTGTAAGCAACAGTGAATAAGGTACAAAAGACTCTTGTCTAGCATATACTGGTGAGAAGTTTTTTCATGTGCATAATCATGGAACATTTTTAACCGTGCTAGACGTGTCCGGGGAGCCCATACTACTTAATTCCATGTTTGGATCAGCGAGGTTCACATCTTAAAAACTGAAACCTAAATAGAAAGGGTAAGAGTTTATGGAAACAGCTGTTCAGGAGAACTGGAGGATGTGCTCTTTGGCTCAGTGTACCACAGGGCGGGTGAGGGAGGTCTGCGGGCTTCCCCAGGAGCAGCAGGAGGAGCTGGCAGGAGTACCCTCCTCATCTCCCACCACTCTGCCTGCTCTGTGGCTCTGCTGATGGTACAGAGCCGCTTCCCAGAAGAGAAATACCTTCATGCTTTTGGTTAAAAAGCGCCGAGTCCTGATAACAATAATTCCTGATAATCCAGTCCTGGTTGGATCAGACTAATAACATAACCTTGGAGAGAAAGGTCTTTATAATCTCTTAATAAGTAGTTTAAACTTTTAACACTACTTCCGTAGGTCTAGATTTAAACTCAGCAAAATCCATTTTAATATCAGGAGAAAGTAAGTAGTTAAATTCTTGAAGTTGGTCCAGCAAATTCATGTAAATCCTTCAATCCAAGACTGACTGGTAATTATTGCCTCTTGTAGTAACCTCTCAATGATTTGTGATGACTTTGACTTCCTTACAATCCTTCTATATGCTGCAGAAGCTGGTGGGACAGTTGGAGAAGAATTCTTTCAGATTAGGATTAAAGCCCTTTTTTATAAATCTGTAGCTGTGACTCCACATTGGACAAAGTAGTAATTTATAAAACATGGGTCTCCTTTACAGACTGAAACCTGAGATACTAAATGTGAAGAAGCCCAGCATAGGCCTCTTTGTTAACCTGATGGCATTGGCTTTTTTATTTTTCTGGAGTCCTTTTCTCACGTTAATATCCGTATGTTTTGGAGAATGTTAAGTGCAAAGGAACCACCATGCATTAATTTGAAATGGCAAAACAAGTGGTCATTTTTAAGAAAATATCCTATTATTGTGTTTATAATGATCTATAAGCCTTATCACAAAAATCCCTTCATTTTATTGCTTAACAGGAGAAGCAAATGCCTGGCTGGACGTTGTAAATATTACCCAGGCCTCTAGTCTGATCCATGTATCGTCACATACCTACCGAGAGAAAAACTGTCTGAAATGGCAGCCTCGGAAAGAGCGTTTCTTTCAGTTGTTCAGTCATCTAGAGCCCAGGAAAATCACAAGATTGTTTTGGTTTCTTTTCCCTGGGGGAAAAACAGTTACGGATGTGACTAAAATGTTCTAGCTGGGGGCTTTTTTTCTGTCTCTACAACTCATCTCGCAATTGAGCGTTCCTGACAGGAGAAGACAACGAATGTCCCTACTTGCGGGACTTGAAGATTTCTTGCTCCTCTTTCCAACCCAGTATCCCAGTCTCTTTAGCACTGTTATTTGTCTTCAAATAAAGCAGCATCTAAATTATCCATGCTTCCCTGGTGGTGGGTGTTATTTTACATTCGGATAAAATGAGCTCCCTCTATTCCATGCTATGTTTCAGCAATTTCCCGAGGTTGGAAAAGGGATCTTGCAGTGTTTCACCATGTAACTGTAAACATAGTTGAATAATATGGAACCTGAAGAGCCTTTCAAGCTGTCTTAATATCGTTAGCGTCACTAAATATTTAAAGAGGAGAAAAACACCTTACATCTTCTTTTTTCATTAAAATTGCAACAGAAGCAAACAAATTTTGCTATTCAGATTCACATCAGAACAAAAACCGCCGCTTCCAAGCTTTGTCAGATGACAGACGTGCAGGTTTTCTTCTCATGGTACCTGGGAGTTGACTTAGTTCACAAAGCTTAAAACACTGAGGTCTCAGATGTTCTTTTATGTTAAAAGAATATATTAGATACCTTAAATAGTTTTAAAGCAAAATCTAAGGATTCACGTCCTATCCTGTCATTTATTTCCTATGCCTTGCCAAACTTCGTTATTCAAGCTGTCTGCATAGTTTTCTTAACATCTTAAAAATCTTTCTTAGAATCTACTAACATCTTACTGAATTCAACCTTTCTAATCTCTTCTACCAAGCGTTTGTTTGATCTGCTGTGGGTACCACTAACTATTGTCTCTGACTTCTGACCTGCGTTGCCTACGCCTGCTCTCCCAGTGGAGGGAGGAAGGAGAACACAGGGAATCTCTGAAGTACTTGCACTGCTGTTGACCATTAAAAACTTGACTGAGCGATAACTCTCACTTCAACCTGTGAATATCTGGGGTTTCAGGAATGGCATTTGTCACCACTTTTGTTTTTGTTTTTTTAAGCTACATAAATGGAGGAGGAGGGGGTAGTTCTTTCTAGCCACTGAACCTGCGTGTGTCAGTAGTGTTTAGGCATTGTTCAGGTCCTCTTTCTGTAACAGCTCTAAAAATGTACTTTTCTTCAGTTGGCTCTTTTATTGACTTTAGATGGTATGTCTGAAGCAGCCAAAGAGGGCAGTTTTTGTGTTGGTCCTCTTGGGTTTTCTGTGACGCTGGGGAGTTTGTCAAATACCTGATGCTGCAAGACAGGTCACAGCCTGGGCAAGACCGTGCTGTGCCTCATGACGATGGCTTCCTTACTTCCGTGTTGATTGCAGGAGGCTCTTGAAGCTCAGTCACTTCAGCCCGGTTCATATCACCTGCAGAGATCTGCCTAAACAAGCTTATGCCCACTTGTGCATTGTGAAGATCTCCGATCTGAAGAGATTGTCCCAGTCCGTGTCCAGTTCCTCAGCCTGTTCACATGCCTCTCAGTAACTTAACTCCAACGTCCTGTTGGCCAAATGTTCCTCTGATGTGCTTTCTGGTGGTTTCTCTCACTGTAATCTGAGTATCCCCACATCCACCTGGAAAACTCACTGGTCATGTGAACCCCAAAGCAGCAGATCCCTTATGAAGAAAGCCCCAACACCTCTGACTTGCGTGCTGTTACCCCTGCCTGGACAGACAGTTTCTCTGGTTGTCTTTCCCTTCCCAGGGGCGGTGTCAAGGCCTTTTAAAGACATCATCCCCCGCTGTCTGTCTCAGACAGGATGTTCCTTTGGTCTCGGTACAAATTTCCAAATCCTGATTTAATTTAAGTCAACAGACCTAGTGATTTAAAGCGGTTCTAGACTTCAGCTGTACTTCCCGTATGTCGGAAGATCCTTGTGTTCCGGTTTGTTTCTGGTTGCGCTCACAGACGGAAACCATTCAGGAAGCTTTAATTAAACTGTTTGTATCCATTGAAGAGACATTAGATGACGGGCTGCATTACAGTATGTTACGAGTCTGCCTGTGTGAACATCAGCCTTGCTGAAGGCTTCTCACACCTCCTCAGTAAATCGTATGTAGCTTCACTCTCACGGAACACCGGGTTGTTTGGGAGCGGTGCTGCATTCAGCAGGGCAATGTTGGGATCGCTGTTCCAGCGCAGACTTCCAGAACCCGCCGACTGGTGGTGGTGAGTGCCATAGGGTACTGCCTGGTCACCCCGTTTCAGAGCGGATACATCTGTTGTCACTCAAAGATCGGGATGGTGGGGGAGGAAGTTACTTAACGGTAATTCTCCATCATGTCTAGTACTGTCTGTTCCGCTTCTTCCAGTGTCTCTGCTAAAGGCTGCTTTTTTGGGTGAAGGGAACAAGGTATGAAAACACACTCTAATACTTACGCCTGCTCTCCTCAGGGAAGAGACAGAGCAAAACCATGCAAATGGTAGGGCCAGAATGGCTTGTTTTCTAACAGTTTTGACATGCCCAAAGCTAGAATAGCTTTGTGGAACACACTCTGCAAGTATTTCACAGATAGGTTTTTTTTTTTTTCTTAAGCATAGCAAATATGTGTAATGCTATTTACTTGTTTAGCCTAATTTATTGTGATAACAACAGTCTGCTTTGGAACTAAATCCAAAACAGTATTTAGTGCAAGAGGACACATGTTTTTCAGCCTACAAAGTGAGGGGGGGAGGCTTGTCCTGAGAGCTGAAATTCTCGAGCCGTTTGTTGTTTCTTTCTTTTAGGCTTGGTCATTATGGTACTAGAACCAGAAGCACAATAAGCACCACGCATGCTTTTCTGTTTTACCCTGTATGTTCTGGAATTTGTGCAGCATTCAGCAAGAACACCACTATGGGTGCCAAAGAATGAATGCTTTTTAATAACCCTGCAGTGGGACGGCCTACTTTTGCGTCATCAAGTTTATGTCTAACGAGATACAGACATTCCTCTCTCTGTATGTCTGTCCAGTATATGCTGCAGGATAAACAAACCTGTTGTGCTGCTGTATCAAAACTGAGTGTGACTAGGTCCTGGCTCACAGTAACACAGCTTGGAGAAGGAAGGTTTGATAGAGCCCAAGATCATAAATATTTATATACTTATTTTGTGTAAATATTTAACAAACCTTGAGGTAGGAATTCAGCAATTTCTTGGTTGTTTTGCTTTCTGAAACCAGAAAGTGAGTTCATTCAAAGCAGGAGCTTATTGAGCACCTTTCAGTATGCGTACTTGTAGCTGCCATAGTGGTTTGAGTCTGCACACATCTCGGAACTGACTCAGACCACCAAAATGGAGACTCGCAGCTCTCCCATTAGCGCTCTGCTCCTTGCTGCTCCCAGCCACTGGAATGCAACTAACAAACTGAGCAAGTGGAACACGAGGACTCACCAAAGGAACGGTTGTGTTTATTCCATAACAGCTATTATGCAGATGAAGTCATAACAGCCAGTAAGACCACACAAAATTATAACACTTGAGAATAAATTATCTTCTCTGAATTTAACCCCAAATTAATATCCTTTGAATATTCTCTTCCCAACCTCTTCACTGCAGTAGAACAGTTTGTCACTGCAGTACAGTATTTATAGCACTTACTCTAGTTATTGCTCTAGAAACAATGGTGTGTTTTACTCATTTAGCAGCAGGAACCTGCCATCTGGCACACGAAGTATTTATGTAAAAACCTTGCTGTCCCACAATTCATGATGTGCTTTTCATAGCTCTTGTTGAATTAATTTATGAACAATGTGTAAGATGTCTTAAAGTCAAGAGTCTTGAAATGACTTCTCTTTTAAACGTGGAAAGTTAAAGTACTTAAACAGTACATAACATAGTCGTTGATATTCACTGCCGACGTTTTCTTTAAACACAATTCCTTGCACAGTAGGCTGGAAATTATGTCTTAATGCAGTCTAGTTTTTCACAATCATTTGATATCCTCTTCCCCAGACTAGCTGTTTCGTAGATGTTCACAACTGTAACATTCAGTTACTGTATATAAGTATGAGAAAGTATATGAGAAAACTCACTGAGCTTTCTAACGGGATTACACACAACTGAGTGGCCAGCAAATGGTAATGATTTCAGCTGGGAGTTTTTGACTCTTAAGAAAAAAAATAAATCACGGCACCTTAACCAAAAATCAGAACCGCACCATATACAAGCTATATGTATGTTTAAAGATGTATTTTCATGCATATCATGCACGGTATTTGTGTCTTCGTTCCTTTCCCTATTTTTTCTCCTTTTGCAATGGTTTTCCATTGCATTCATTTCCATACTCCTAGCCAGGACCCCAGAAAACCAAAGGATTAAATTAAAAGGAACAAATTCAGTTGAAATGAGAAATATTATCTTCCCAATATAAAACATCTCAACACAAGCCTTTATCTTTGCAAGGCAGTTCTTTTACTTCTGGTAGGACATAAGCTACCAAGATACAGACTGTACTGAAAGCCTCTTAGGTTAAGTGCTTTGCTTATCATTTCAAATGTGGAATCTAATCAGTCAGTCATGTAACAAACATACCTGAAGCTCCAGGCAGTACAGATGTTCAACAACTTCTGTTAAGATACATACTCTGAAAATATGGGCAGTTGTTTTCTGGTTCAGTCAAGTATCTGTGCTAGTCCTTTTCGTACCATCGTCCATATAGAGCAGCTGTCAGTAGGCCAGAAGATGTTCTATTTTTGCTTATGAAATAGTGGTTGTTTTTCCAGCCCATGTGATCAGCAAAGTCCAAGGTAATACCAGATGTCAGCAGTAAAGGAAAGATATAAGGGGTACTCATATTTCCCCATAGCTGGAAATCTATCAGAGCAGTGGCATCTGTAACCTCCTGTCCACAAGTGCTAAAGCTGAGACCACCACACTTTACTAATGCACAGGCCTGGACGTAGTATGTGCCATGCACTGTATGGAGCCCATCAAAAACTCCCAAAGCATATAATTCATCGGTTAAAACAGCTCTCCGATAATTTAAGTAACAACAAAGGGTATTGGCACAAACCTGGAGCTCTCCTGTTTCCCCCCATACAGGAACGAAAGTATAGTTGTCATACATCATTTCTGCATAAAATAGGGGAGGTAACCGTTCATTTCCTTTTTCTGAAACTCTGCCGGGTATCTCTTGTTCCTCCTTAAAGCAAACTTGATCATCCATTGGGGCACTTGTAAAAGTCTTGCACGAGTGATGTAAGTTCTCTCTGAATCTTTCATTACTCTCCAAATTGGTTTTGTAATCCGTGGTAATCACAGGAATTTCTGCTACTATGAGCTTGCCACCGTAACCTTCCATGTTGTGGTAGATGAATGACTTGACAGGAGTGTATATACCACTCCCAGTCATGCCTAAGGTAGGGTGGTGGATATTAGCTGCTAAAATATTGATGTTGAAAGCTGTTGCAAAAGCTTGTTGAAATTCTACAGCAGACAGGAGCGGGAGCTGGTTCATCCAGGCAGTCGGATATACAACTTGTTTCAAATTGTATTGTCTGATGAGGTTCACTGCAGGCTCAAAAAAGAGTATGTCAAAGCAAGTGAACATGCCAAACTTGCCAGCAAAAGGGGTATCAAAGAGTATGTAGTCAGGCTCTGGAGGGGTATCAAAAGCGTATTCAAAATACAGATTGTGTTTGCGATACGTGGCTACCAGCGCACCGTCATCACTGAATGCCACGTTGGTATTGAACTGGTATCTTCCATCCGATGGACAGTGAGGATCAGTGTGCTCACAGGGTTGCTTAGTTCCTAAGTTTGCTACAAGGAATATTTTGTTCTTCAGCGCCATGCAGCTCAGACGCTGAAGAACCTGAAAAACAGTATGGGGACATGTAAGCACTTCAGGATATGGAGGGATAAGTTTTACTTAAGCATCTATGACAAATTTAATACTTTTCAAATTATTATTTTCAACTGGAAATTGAACACGTTTGACCTTATCCGTAAAATTTAAATGTACTGATGATTTTGTGATGTAAGCTATTGGAACCAGTGGTTTTCTAGACTGAAAAGTATTTCAGATACTAATTTCAAAATAGCTTTGAAAAAATTATCTGGGTTTTATTTCCTGAGAAGTAAGTAAATAAATAATCTCTCTATTTCAAGGGCGTTACTTTTCAGAACCTTCTGACTGTTGCAGGAGCACCAATGGCTTTAAAACACCATAGGTGAACTGAAAGCTTTGACAAGGCAGCGTAACTGATCTCTGTGTGCCTTTAGAACAGCAAATGTCTAATAATGATTATTAGCACCCACAATGGCTTGTTCCTGCAACTAGATGTTTTTACTCTAAATTAAAAAAAAAAAGTTATTACTAGCTACAACTTAGAGAAGCAGAGGTGTAAATGGATAGATTCCGCTTAGCTATGGAAAAGAAATACAACAAGTTGCAGACTACAGTATTACCGGGATGTTTCTTCCACGCCATAGAGAGCTGTGCCAAAGACTGCCGGTATTGCAATCTCCAAATAGGATCTGAATGGCAAACTAAGTTCTTGCTTGCTTGTGCATGATCATTGGTAGTAAAGCTTCATAGGCCAAAGCAGGTCACCATTTACAACTGCGATTAAGGTTTGCACACAAACTCTGCTTAGTAGGCACGTGCATGATTATTTACTTTCATCATACTGACTACTGTCACCTTAATAGGAATCAATAGTTTGTATTACTAAGCATGGTTATTTTCATTTTGGGTTCAGAACAGTCGATGAAAATACTATTTTTGTAACTTGCAGGTCACATCTTCAGTAATCACACTTGCTCTGTGCTGAGCTGTGACTTCTATTACATTATAGCGGGTCAAGTCCTGTTACTTGTGCTCATCATTTTACACACAATCACTGAGTCAGAATGTTCTGATGTAATTGTCATTAAAACCGAGTAACAAGAATGCATCGAAAGTGAAGATACTGCTATGTTGTTTTATATAAAACAGTGTTGTTCAAAATAAAATCCCACACTACTAACAATATATATTAGAGAGTAGTTACCGTTTCATAGGTTGGGGAGGGGGAGATGGGAAATCCAGATGGCTCATAAACAAGCTAATCTTCTTGCATGTATGTATCTAAAGCCCTCCTCTGCTCAGAATGAAACCAGCATAAACTGAGAGTTCATGAAAACAGAGTCTGGTACTACGAGCTGTTAAACTTCTTGCTTACTTCCCCAAGCTAGAGCTAGTTTCCCACTTGGAGCACAAATCCAGCATTCAGTTATTCCACCTCTCTGCAGAAATCACTCCTACATTTACCTCTGTGTCATTGAACAAATACGGTTCTCTGCATGGATTCCACTTCACGGAGTGTGAATACAGAACGAAATCTAAGTAAGGATAAATGGAGCTTCTGGTGAAGTTGAAGCCATGGATTCCATCTTCAGGAAAAACAATGATCTGTGCTCCCTGTATGTAAAACAAAGGCATGTTTTGTAGGCAAAGCAAACCCAACCTAAATACGAAGGCGGCGGAAGGGAATCTCATGGGTAGAAAGAGCTAAAGAAAGTTAAGGATAACCCAAATAGGTTTTGACACGAATGTAGTTTGAAAATATCTTTTCTTTGACTTCAGGTTAAAGACTGATGTTAAAATTTGTCTTAACTTTTTTTCAGAATTATGCCATTTGCAGATTAACTCTGTCAAAGGTCCTGTATCTGTGTCAAAGGTACAGTAACTGTGTCAAAGGTGCAGCATCACTTAGTCTGGGCTATATACCTTGATTAGGTATATAGGGTTGTATAGGGTACTGGGAACAGCTTGACTGTGGAAGCAATGCAGATTCTGGTAGAAATGTAGCCATGCCAGAGCTAGGCTGGCTCTACCTGAAGTTCAGGAAGATCTGTTCCTAAAAATGTGGTGGGCTCCTCTTAAATCAGACACAGCATCAGTCACTCAAATTCCTGTGACTGTTCAAAAGCCAGTTCAAATGTGTTATCTGTGCTATGGCTTTGGGATAACTTATGTGTCTTGGATGCAGTACTGCATAAAAATAGCTATTATGCTTCTGGACTGTGATGCCCAGTCATCATTCTCAAAAAAAAAACAAAAAACAAAACAAAAAAAACCCAAAACCAAACAACCACTTTTTGAAATTGTATAAAAATTGTCATTCTTCTGTTCCAAAACAACAGATTTCTGAAACTTGCAAGTCAATTCTTCTCTGCGTAGGAACAGTAATGCCTGCTTCCTCTGACTAGAACCAGCTTTGGGTTTTCTTGGGGAGGGAAGGAAAGAAGGCTGTGCATAAGAACAGCCAGAAATACTAGTCTCTCTCCTCTAATTATATTTAGACTGAGAACCACTCCATGGACCGTAGGAGAAAGGAATGGAAAACTTTACTTCCACAAAGTTGTTAATGGTGGAACATTCATTTCCAAAGCATTTAACTTCCTTAGATTTTAGAAATATTCAGGAATTTCCATTGAGAGCACTGGAATAAAATCAAACCCAAAGACAGCTGCCTGTAAGAAAATCTTTCAATAAAAACATTCCATTTAAGAAAACAGAAAGGAGCTAGGTAGTCAGACCAAAATAGAAAATTAATTTCTCTATACTAAATAACTATAGGCGTGTTTTTCCAAGCTTGGAATAACTCAAGTTAGGCGAGCTGCTAATTGGCCTGATTTTTTTCAGAGCTGCTGGCAGGTCAGAATGTCTGAAAAACCAGACCATACTTATGTATATAAATATGGCTTTAGTTGCCTGGGAACACGAACGTGAAAGATTATCCTCCAATAGCACTTACTCTATATATACATAGGACACACGCAACTGCTACTAAGCTGCGGCATACCTGTCTTGCAGCAGCCACTACTTGCTGTTCATAGATGTCTAGGTTTCTGCCCATGAGTTCCAGCGCAGACTGTCGATCAACCAGGGCTGTTGGGTTAGGACTCAGTATGGACTCGTGCTCATACACGGCAGCAACGTAATGCCCTTCCCTCTTAACTCTTCCCGAGACAACATGACAGCAAAAAAAGCAGACAGACAGCTTCCAGCACAGATCCACCATGGTGTATGCCATAAATCTAGAGAAAAAAAAACAGGTGGGGTTGGTGGACCTTGAGCAACACATAGTGCCAGGAATTTAAATTTACGATTACATATGGACTGTAACTGAGACTCTTAACAGTGTTTGAACTGAGTGTGTTGGTTTTAAATTTCTGAACAACCACATTCATATTGTTTCTAAACAAATCTATCTATGTTGGTGCTTTAAATAACTGTGTTCTGTTTAAAAGCATTTTAGCTTCATATATAGTTCTACTGATCTCCTTGCTTTGTCTCCCTTTCCAATTAACTTTATCATTCATTTATAGACCTTTCGCACCATGCACCAAAACGTCTTTGGGAAAAGTTAAAAGCAGCTCGCAAATTTGCAGTTTCTCCCCCATTTGGTGATGGGGGATGTATTTAAAAGTAGCATTTCCTAAAATCATTCGGACACAATATTTAGTAGTCAAGTAGTGGTTTAACTAATTTTATCAATACTGAAACAGGGAATCGCCAAAAGAATTACAACAGACACTACTTGTACATTTATCTGTCTTTCTATCATGAAAATGCCTCTCCTGAGGGATTATGGATTCACTCTATTCCAACTCCATGTATGTAATGCACTAATTTGTCTCATACACTGCGGCTTTTTTCAACATTTATAAAAATGTTGAGTGCAATTCAGGTCTGCATTCCTCCTCTAAAATGCTTTCATAGTAATAACAATAAAGCAAAAATCCATACAAAATGCAGAAAATTTGCATTACTGAGCTTTTCTTAGAAAGAAATGAAGAATTAGTGAGTCTGGAAGGCTGGGGCACTCTCTCCAACATGGCCTCCCCATGTAGCCTTTCTGACGTCCCAAGTTGGGAAATACTTATACAGAACAAGGACTGACTGACACAGTCAATGGCTGTGCAATGCTTAAGAAATACTATAGAAATACCATGTTATTCTCACAATACGAGACTTCTGTATTTGTCACCCCAGTGTTACTAGTATCATTAAGGAATTAAATTTTGAATATCAGTGAAATTGAAAGAGCATGCAGGAGAGATGCACTGATGCTATATATTGATGGCCCAGTCTTCAAGTTCAGTTACTGACTTTTTCATTGTATTTCATAGAACCATAGAATAGTTTGGGTTGGAAGGGACCTTTAAAGGTCATCTAGTCCAACCCCCCTGCAATGAGCAGGCACATCTTCAACAAGATCAGGTTGCTCAGGTTGCTCTTTGGTAATTCTTATCCAAGAAAAAAAATGTTCCAAAACACTCTTAGTGCTTCTCAATCTTTGTGATCCACAACTCCCTGAATTTTTCCAAAGCAAATACAGACTCTGAAAGACACATGCATGAAGAGCCTTCTCTAGTTCCCATTAGGAGTTCAGCAGAAAAAGAAATCAATTTTAAACTAATCCCATTTTTATTTTTTATTCAGGTCATATTAAACGTAGTTCTCTACCTACAAAAGATAGTCTATGGCAAGTTAACTTAAAATACCTCTTTTCTTAAATTCCAGAATGAAAAGCAGCTAATAAGCAATTCTCAATACTGTTGTTTTGAGGGTTTTTTTTTTGTCTAATCACCAACTGGTTTAGTATCTAACAATGAACAAATTGAAGCGTGAGTGAAAGCTATTCAAAAAGCATTTAGTAAGTAATACCTTAGTTTAAACCACTTGTTTGCTTCCATGAGCAGCTCTACACACTGTTTGCAACACTGGTTTTATAGCAACACAATTCCACGTAGGACAGGAAAATCAAAACCTTAGTGCCTACGGTAGGCAGAAGACTTGTTTGCTCAACCAAAAAGTTTTAATATGTAATAACACTTGTAAGGGTCCAGGAGTAACTTAGCTATTAGATGCTGCTAAGCTCAACTACTTATTTTCTTGAGGCTTAATTTGCCAATGTGTCCATATATACATGCCTTCAATGGTAAATTTAAGTTTCCTAAAGCACAATAAAAACAGAAGAAAGCCTTGGCATCTCTGTAAACAGTTGTATTAAAGACACTCCATTTATAGAAACAGTGAGAAGTGATGTACAATAAGCTACCCTTGCTATTCCGCATCTTGAGGAAAACACTTGGCACTTGGGGGGGGAGGGTGATTTGGCAATGCATATCAAGAACAGAGGATCCTACTTTGTCTTATGCAGCTCAGCTTTGCAAATGAAATACCAAGGTACACGTGAAGATATAAAGCAGTAGCAGGGGGAGGGAGAAGAGAGGTGGGAAGCCTCTCACAGTTAAGGAAGCCACTGAAAATAAACACACAGTGTTTGCACTTCACTGACAAAACTATCTTTTCTATTTCTGTCATCCCTGCAGAGCCAAAATGCCTATTTAGGACAGGAATGGGTTCTAGTTGGCCGTTCCTCAACGAAGTTGTCAACTAAGATGTAATTAGAATCCATCATTACTAGTGATGGAAAAAGTTGGAGAGTTTCAGATCACAGAATGGCATTGCTATGCGTTAGAAAAATAGCCTTTTTGCCTTCTAAGCCGACACATTAACATAAAAAATTAACAGGTAATGGGCTTCTACAAAATGTATTTTACAGACATGCTTGGAGAATTCTCATTTTTCTGCCACGGTTTATTTTCTGGTGGTCAGAAACACTCGAAGTACTAACCCTTCCTCATTTAGACGCACACAAGGTTTAGCACTAAACATCCAACTACGCAATCCCATCTGGCTGAACCTGGGCCAATTAAAATAATTTAATAACCAAAATAATTCCTCTGAGTCCTTATCTTTGGTTGTCATTACTGCTAGTCCTACAGACGGTGGCTGAGCACTTATGTGAGTGCTCCCTAATGCCTTTCCCCTATTTGACAGCTTAAACAACTGAACCCTTCTATCTAATGGGTTGCTTCTAACAAGGAGAGCTGTGACAGGCTCCAAGGCTGGACTTGGGGATGGTAACCTTTCCAGCCACAATAAGGATACTATCAGGGTTTACTCAGCCCTTAGGCTGTGAGACTCCAGGTAAGTCTCAGCCACATTGGTTTTTTTTTTCCCCCTAACAGAAAGTGCTACACTATCTAATAAATCCTTTCCTTGAAGAGAAGTTAATTTGTTCAGGGTCTATAGAGCTGTCACCTCATCTGAGCCAGGACTCTAAAAGAAATTTTCATGAACTGAAATGCTTTATAATTTAATCTCTTTTTCTGTCCCTTTCCTGTGATTTATGTGGTCTTTTGCCTGGCAGATCCACTTCAGTAGGGATCATCTCACCCAAACATAAGTATTTCATAGCAGTATTACTGTCATGCAGTCACAGTATTCTAGTTATAGTTCTATAGAAAAGGTAAAAAGACCAGTGTTTAAGTTTGGATGCTCATTCAGACAAGTTTTTCCCCCAGTCACAGTGCAGACTGTTTTCCTATTCAGTTTTTCAGAACCATCTAATCTCGGTACATTGTGAAGCAAAGCATCCAGTCACTCACTTTTCAACAACTTTGGAAACGTAGAAGTTTGTCGACTCTCACTAAAGGAAGGCAATACATGCCCTGCTTCTTAGCACTTTTATACTCAGAAGAATCCAACGGACTGTAAAAACCAGAAGTAGCACGGCACTAGTCTGGGTCCTCTTAAGTGATTAATAGCAAATGCCTGTTAAGCTATAGGAACATAAACAGTAATAATTATGAGGCAAAATATTAAATTTGCTATAAAAAAAAGTATATCTTTTTTACATTGATATCCATGAATTGTGATGTTGCTGCCATTCTAGTATATAGAATATATAACACAACAGCCCCTACATAGATGTAAAAATATAGTGAAATTCAAGTTTTTTCTATTGATCCCTCCTGTCTACTGCTGTTATACAGTGCACTGTATTTTAGTACAGTATTTACTATATAGGTTTTTATGAAGTTTTTTTAGCAATGCAATCATAGCTCAATGTGAACTGGTATCTTACATTTCCCTTTCTGAAAAACATTTAATTTTGTGTGCAGTGCATTACATAACATTGCTCTAGCTTCTTGGCTGTTATCCAGAGGCACAATCTATTTTTAAAGAATGCTGCCCATTCAATACAATGTTTTGCAAGAAGTTTTATACATTTCACAGCATTCCTGAAGTACACTTTGTCTCATAATTAAAAGATCTATGTTATCTCATTGACAGGACGAGGGTGAATTGAATGCTGCTGTTATTAGTGGTTCACCTCAAACAGCTCAAGATGGTAGCACAACCAACAAGTCAGAGCGTGGGGCAGAACGTATTGTCAACTGTGCCACTTCTCGGACACGTGCATGCTTGGCGCGGCCAGGACAGGCACAGCCAGGTAAAATGGTGTGCACCATCCGTCGGTGAGGATTTTGGAGACGCGCCTCACACTACGCTCCCGCTTCTCCTCATGAATGCTGGCGTCAGGTATCTTCGTGTAAAACTACCCTGTACTTTGCCCCGCTCTGCGTTAGCCATCTCCGACCAACTCCACAAAGCTGGAGTGCTACACTGCGGAGGCGGCCCCCCTGGTTACAAACGGGGTTCGCCCTTCAGCTCCCACGGGCCTTCGAGGTCGAGCTGCCACACGCCAAGGGCGGCCTTACGGGAGCCCGGGCCGGGCGGTGAACCCCCCCGCCAGCTCCCCCCTCCCCCGGCTTGAGGCCGCTCGCTCGGCGAGCC